AAAATATAATGGGGAATCCTTTGTATTCATGAGAAAACCATTAAAAACTGAAGCAGAACCAACCTTTAGACTCAATTATGGGACAAAGAGCGATATGTTCTGTATATGAGTCTAAGTAACTGAGAGAGGGATGAAATAATATTTCCTGAAATATACTTATTCCAAATTATTAAAATGATAGCAACAAAAAGTAACATTTGCAGAATCAGAACGTAGTCACCAGATGTGAAGATATTCAGCTACAAAAACTGTATATCCCATCACTTGATATTGAATCTTGAATCAGTTTATGGAGTGCTTCATTATAATGGGATTATTCAGCATCCATGAACCCAAACATTCTATCAAATATTACAAAGCTATTAATACCAAACTATTCTACCAGATATTACAAACTGGTTCAATCAGGTTAATTCCTCTAGAAAACTTTCTCACATTTCTTAAGAGGAGTTTTATAAACCAGAATGGTTTTGCTAGCTTTGCAGATTTAAATGTTAAACATAGTGTGTTCATGTAAATGACATTACTATCCACTTGGAATAGAGAAATTTAGTTTGCATTTCAACCAAAAAGTTTCCTAATACTTATATTAGCTTTTTTCTTCACTAACAAGATCAAAATAGAACATGATCAATTTCATTAATTCACATGATTTATTCAGGCAGAAAAATTCATTTTATGAAAAATGTAGCATGTTAGACACAAAATTACAACTATGCTAGTGGCAATTCTACATAGCCATCAATATTTCTAGAGAAGATGCATCCATACAACTTTATTTCATTTTTAAAAATGTATCAGGACACTGGACTACAGCTTATATCTACTTACACTGGAATAAGCACATTATTTTTAAACAAAGATATGCAGTACTGCATTACTACTTTCATGACATGAGAGAGTACAAGTGATGCAATGTTCTCAGTCTGTCATATGAATATCTTCATTGAACAATCCACGCAACTTTTTTGAAATTATACCTGTTTGCTACAGTAGTTTTTAGGTTCCTTTTCCTGACCCATCCAGTAAGTTGTATACCTTCTAGGTAACATGTTCATATTAAAGATTTATTGATTTATGCTATAGTTATATACCGCCTTCCTTCAGGAGGGCAGGATTAGCATACACAGCTTTAATTTTTCCCAAGCCACATGAGGTATTTTGGGCTGAGGAGTGTGATTGGACCAAAGTCTTCCAGTGAGTATATGGTTGTGGGTAAACTTAAATTTGGCTCTCCCCAGTTTAGTCCAACACTTGGAACTATTACACACCCACTGGCTTATGTTTGCACTGATGTGTTCAAAACAATATTGAATATTACCTTCACGTTTGCCCTCTTCCTTCCAGATAATTTGTGACGAGTTCTTCCATGCGGTTTTCTACACTGATTTTCCCCCCAAACTATTCAATACTAATTTCATACTAAACAACACACCTACAATGCCTTTAAAACATGATTTCACAGACTTTTCTATAGCATCTAACTATGACTTGTTATTTTTTTGGAGAACCATCACAACTTATCTTTAGATTTTTTTAAGGAACTCTTTTCAGCAATTTCACGTTGTTTTGACACTGCTTCTCCATATCATTTCTATATATTTTTTATTTGTTAGACCCTGAACTGTTTAAGAAACCTGCAAGTAATCTTCTGTAAAAGACTAGAGTATGCAGTGCTGTTTTAGAGATTATGAATGTAATGCAGCTGTTGTTAGGAAAAAAGAAACTTATGAGTGTGTGCGCGTGAATTTTGAAATGCATGTTAATTCAATAGGCATGTAGATTAAGTAAAGTGTATGTACATTATGTCCATCTGCCAACAATATTTTGCTGATCCAGGAAATTATCTGCTTCTTAGAACTAGAATTTCGAAGTAAATTATTAAATTTAGAAACATGCCTACAATATATAGACTAGTTTCAATTGGAAATAAGTTTCACTGTTTCAGATTTAACTCCATCCAAAAAATAAGTAATCCAAACTAAATGATTCAGTGCTTAAAAAAATGTCATTGATTAAAGTTAAATTAGAAAATTCTAATTTGCAAAATGACAAATTATCTTCTGAAAAAATAAACTTCATGTATCTTCAAATTGAAGGAAATCAGACTTGCTCTTCTGAAAATATGCTATAAACATTTCATAAAAACTGGATAAGGAAAATAACATCCAATCAACATTAATAAATAAATTGTTCTTTATAAAGGCAATTTTAAACTACAATCAAATTCATTCTGAATCAAGGGGGAGGTTTAGAGGTTTCCTTTCTCTGCCCCTACCTCCCACACTGAAATGATCCTAAGTCTGGTGAGCCACTGAAGGGCTGCAAATATGTTTGCTATATTAAGGTACCAAAATACATGTACTGCTTTGAAAAGAAAAGTTTGGGGGTGCTGAAATCAGCTTCCATTCTCCCTTCTTTTAAATCCACTGCAGAATTTACACAGTGCCTTAACACAATAAGCACTGGACTGAAATTGAGATTCCGTAATACATTAATGATAATTGACAACAAGCCTTTACATTAGCACCTGATCTCCTAGCTCCTTGTCTTCATATAGTTCAAAGACCCTGAATCCACTATTTCACTAAATTTGGCATGTTATACTCCAGATCATAGGTAGATCTAGAAAACCTGGTGCCATTCATGATCCCAAACTGACAGTTTCAAAATTTTAAATATAATTGATTGGCTTATCCTCAAGCTGTAGTTGCCAGAAAAAAAAACATTTAAGCCGTACATCTGCAAAAGTTTTTATACTTTCTAACACAAGCCTTTTAATATGAAATTAAACTTTATCTTCAACTGCACATTAAATATCCTCACTTCCTTATAACTATGGAAGTAACAAAATAAGCCAGTACCAAAGATTAATCTGATAATAGCTTTTCTTTTCCTTTGAGTTTTTATAAACCCAATCAATATAGGTAATCCTAACTTTCAACCATTTGTTTAGCAACCATTCAAAGTTACAACCGCACTGAGTCCTTGTGACCATAGCAGCATCCCCACAATTATGTGATCAAAATTTGGATGCTTGGCAACCGGAATCTATTTACAATAGCTGCATCTACAATCTTCCCAGCCAGATTATGATAAGCAAAGTCAGTGGGGGAAGCAAGATTAACTTAATGACCATTTGATTCACTTAAAAACTGCAATTATTTACTTAACAATATTGACAAAAACTACCTTATCTAAAAATAGAAATTTTGGTCCCAGTTATGTTCATACATTGAGGACTACCTATATCAATTTTCTGCTCATAATTGTTAACAAATGTAATCAAATGCCTAAATACTTAAAACCTTGTCCGCAATGGTATAATTCATAATTTATAAACTTGTCAAATTCTTTTACTATGGATTCCTCCCTTAGCTACTTCTTCCCATTACATAGGCTCTTTGGGGTACTCTAAGCTAATACTGATAAATAAAAAAGAATAAAAAGCCCAGATCAAAAAGGATAAGCCAGGATCAGAAGGCATTCTCCATAATTCATGATTCTGTATCTTATTAATTTATGTATACTAACTTAATACACCCATATAGAGTGAATGTTTTTATTATACTATTGTGATTTATTGTGATTTATATTCCTTACTTTAGATTACTTGACCTTAAAGGTAATTTTATAGTTCTATATAAAAGAAATCTAGTTTTGGGAAGCACAATCTTGGTGTCAAACTGATACATGATATGAAGCGGGAAAAGATAGGATTAAGAAAAAGGACTAGCAACTGTGTTGGACCATGGCTTTGTAAACCACAGGTATGACATAGTAAATAAATGAATGAATGAATGAATGAATGAATGAATGAATGAACGAACGAACGAACATGGCTGGATGCAAAGGTTCTGGTATTAGCCATTTGAATGTTCTTCTAACAATGGAATGAAAACATTGGATGCAATCCAATGGAAGCAAAAGACAAAGGAATATCTGATGTGCTGATCAGCTGTTCTGTGTCCAACAAAGTGGTAGCAGCACCAGAGCTGGCGGCAGCCCAGAGGTTTTGTTGTGCAGACCTGCTATAAACTTATTAAGAACTTATTAAGAACATATTTTGTTTTGAATTAATGGACAATCTGAACTTTAATAACTATGCATTGTGAAATGCCAATTGTTAAAAAAAATGGAAATAATTCCAGCATGGGTTTCCCGAAACAAGTGTGAAAGTAATAAATTGGTGGTCTGAAAACAAATCTTGACACAACTGATATAAATAAATAAAGGTGTTATAAATAAAGGCCTCATAATACTTAAGTATATTTGATCAAAAGGAATTATTTCTAATGTATTTTTCTTTCCTTTGGATTATGAAAGGGTATGAAACCTAGACAAAAAATGGCAGAACATTAGAATAGCAGAAGTAAGAGTAAAAATATAAGACATCTGTTGTTTGGTAATAATGCAACCAGAGAATCACAAAAATAATTTCCACATCTTCTTCTCATAATGGGGTTTAAATTGAGGGGGAAAAAACTTAACATATTTTCTAAAATATCAACTAAGTTCCCAAAAGACAGAGACAAAGAGACGGGCTGTTTGTCTATTTATATTTAATCTATCACAAATAGATTATTAAAATTCTTCAGGTAACGGATTAGAAAGACAGCTTTGGGGTATGGAAGTGTGTGTATTTGAGAAATAGTTTTTCTGTTTTCATCTTTTCTATTTGAAAATGTATTGATGAAGTTCAGAGGGGAAAACTCTGGTGAATTAACATTCAAATTCCAAATCTGCTATTTAGTTGAAGTCAAAATATTTGAAGTGTTCATTTTACTAAATGAACTTCAGTAAAATTTACTAAATTTATCCATTCAAGCTTTTCAGGATGAATATTGTTCTTTGTTATTCATAATCAGAATTCAAAAATTAAATGCCTAACATTCCAGCAACGAACTATACAGCCCGGATTACATTTTGCTTGGTAGGAGTTATCCGTCTGGAATGAATACAGAAATGTGGCACTGCCAACACCTGAAAGCTGAACTTACCAAGAAGTGGGACTGGTTGGGATACAGAAGCTGCTATACTAGCAGAAGTTACAGGTGGTGGAGCATTTGGATATCCTTTGGAGCCTTCTGCATTTTCACCATTTCCTCTACCTCCAGAAACTACTGTTGGAATTGGGTTCCCTATAGAAGAGTCTTTTGTAGTGTCTTCATTTATAGTGGCCACAGTAGCTAAAAATGACATTAATAACATTTTAAATAGCATAAACTTCTATTTGAATTATCTTTAACACCAAACAAATCTCACTTACAATTTGGGATATTTACTCCTCCAGAAGGAGGGACAGAAACTGGAGGAACTGAAACCGATGGATTAATGGGAGGTGGTGGTCCAGGAGGAAGAAAACCTACGAGGAAAGAAATAATGAAGTATCACTTTTAGAACAGCCATCCATTCAATTGATCTATAAACAGAAAGCCATACTTTCAAGAGTACCTAACACATAATTCATATGCCTACAAACTTTCTAGGAACAATTAATATACCTGGTGGTAAATGCATTGGATTGAAGCCTGGTCGCATAAATGGTGGTGGTGGTGGAGGAGGCACTCCAGGACCAAATCCAGGAGGTGGAATTCCTAATGGAGGAGTAAATGTAGGCGGCTGAAGGGTACCAACCATTGGAGGACCTGGTTGATGTGGTGGCACCTGCAATTGGATAAAATTATTTTCATTTTATGGCATAGTTCTTATTCTTACAGGTAATTTTACAATGATGTCAGAAACAGAAAATCGGTAAAATTCATTTTTATTAGAAGTTTAACTCAACCTTAATAGTTAGAAATTTAAATTCTGAATCACAAATAAACCACTAATAAATGCTATTTTTTAAATCAAGACACAGTACATACAGAATTAGTAGTGGCAAAAACAAATATTCAGAGGTTCCTTATTTATCAATGCTTCTTCCTTTGGCATAATATCTATTACGATATACAGTTTTTCCCCGAACGCCATCACTTTACTAAACAAATAATTCCTTCAACACTGTCAAACTATTTATTAAGTCTCCATTACTATTACTATTAATCCTCACTAAATTGAATATACTATGGACATTTTATATGTGGGTCTGTGTATGTTAAATTCTTCAATATTTACATATAATTTTAGTTCATAGTGATAATGTATAAATGTAAAATTTTTTTGCCAAATTGACTGTAACCTTGTTGCTTGTATCCTAACAATTTTTATTGACTGTTTCCTAGCATGATTTGATTGCTTATTGTACCCTATGACTATTATTAAGTGTTGTACCTTATGATTCTTGACACTTTGACAAATGTATCTTTTCTTTTATGTACACTGAGAGCATTTGCACCAAGACAAATTCCTTGTGTGTCCAATTACACTTGGCCAATAAAGAATTCTATTCTATTCTATTCTATTCTATTCTATTCTATTCTATTAATGGTGTACATTTAAATTACCTATTAGCCCATACAATGTCACATTTGTAAGTACTGTTCAAAATGTTGCTTTAGGGTATTTTTTTAGATGGAGCAGTGCAATTAGTGCACCTACAGAATCTACCACAAAAGCTACTAAAAATCTTTAGGTTATAGTTCTCTTCCCCAGTAAAATTCTATAAGATTTCTTTGAACTGCTTTCCACTTTTTCTTCTGTATTAAACTTTTCCCATATTGGTATTAATCATGTTGGATTATATACCTCTACTATTACAAAATTTGAAAATATAATCAATGTGTTTATTATGCATAATCAGCATGATTAGCATAATGTTTAAAGTACAGAATTTCTGAAGAATATCACAATGGGAAAGATCTTTAATTGTTAATATTTTTGTTTATTTGCCGAGTTATATAATTTATTTATTTTATTTATTTATTAAATTTATATTGCCGCCTATTCTCAAGATGGCTTACAGAATGTAAAACCATATTTAAAATTAAAAAAAAACAATAAAAACTAGCAAAAAGAATCAAATAAATTAATATAGTACAATAGAACAAAATCTGGGGAAAAAAATAAAAAAATCACCCCCAACTCCCACCCCAACTACAGCAGATCACATGAGCCATTTGATGGGTTCCATCCCACTCTGGGTTCCCCAGGCCTGCTGGCAGAACCAGGTCTTGAGTGCCTTCGGGAAGAATATTAGAGAGGGGGCCATTCTAATCTCTGGGGGAATGATGTTCCAGATTGAGGGAGCTACCATGGAGAAGGTTTTTCTTCTGTGTCCCACCAGGTGTATCTCCCTCAGGGATGGGACCCACAGCATTCCTTGCCTCCCCGCTTGTTAGGTCAGGTAGATGTGACTGGCAAGAGATGTTCCTTCAGATAACTTGGTCCCAAGCCATGAAGGGCTTTACGTGTGACAACCAGCACCTTGAATTGCACCCGGAAGCAAATTGGCAGCCAATGAAGCTCCTGTAGGAGGTGAAACATGTGCACATTGGGGTCTGCACAAAACCATGCAGGTCGCTGCATTTTGCTCCAACTGGAGCTTCTGGATGGTCTTCAAGGGCAGCCTCACGTAGAGCGTGTTGCAATAATCAAGTTGGGAAGTGACTAGGGCATGAGTGACTACATTGGTCCAGGAAAGGGCGGAACTGGTGCACAACCCGCAATTGCGCAAAGGCCCTCCTGGCAGCAGGAGTCTTGAGTCCAGGAAAACCCCTAGATTATGCACAGGGTCTGTTTGGGGTAGTGCCACCCCATCCAAGACCCAAAGTGGCAATTCTCCCTGAGCCAACGAACCCCAAACTCAAGAGCCAGTCGGTCTTGCAAGGGTTTAGTTTCAAACCGTTGCTCCCCATCCAGCCTCTAACAGCCTCCAGGCACTGCAAGAGGGAGGACACAGCACACTTAATTCACCACGGGCCAAGACATACAGCTGAGTATCATCAGCATATTGGTGGTACCTCAGTCCATGGTGATGGATGATTTCACCCAGCAGTTTCATATAAATGTTGAACAGGAGTAGAGAGAGTACTGAGCCCTGTGGAACCCCGTAAAGCAGTAGCCAAGGGCTCAAACTCTCCCCTCCTATCAACACTGACTGACAGCGGCTGCAGAGGAAGGAAGTAAACCAGGACAGCATAAGGCCTTCCATTCCCATCCCCCAAAGCCGTCCCAGGAGAATCCCATGATCAATGGTATCAAAAGCCACCAAGAGATCAAGTAGAGCAAGGATGGATGCTCTACTCCCATCCCGCTCCCACCAGAGATCATCCAAAAGTGCAACCAATGCAGTTTCTGTCCAAAATCTAGACCTGAATCCTGACTGGTAGGGGTCGAGATAATCCGTTTCATCCAGAAACCTCTGGAGCTGCTGCGCGACCACCTTCTCAACAACCTTCCCCAAAAAGGGAAGATTGGAGACAGGTCAGAAATTATCCAACCGGGTGGAGTCCAGCGATGTCTTCTTAAGAAGAGGGTGGACCACGGTCTCCTTAAAGTGCTGGGGCACTGTCTCCTCCTATAGGGAAGCATTAATCACTCCCAGAGTCCACCCACTTGTCACCTCCTGAGATGCTTTCACAAGCCAGGAGGGACATGGGTCTAAAACACAGGTGCTTGCGCACATACTCCCTAGGATCCTGTCCACTTCCTCAGAAGCAACAGGGTCAAACCGTTCCTAGATAACAGGGCAAAAAGCTGCCTCTGGAGCTTCCACCAGACTAGCAACCATGCTGGCATCTAACTGGGAACGAAGTCGAGCAATTTTGTCTTCCAGAAAACCTACAAATTCCTCGGCATGTCTCTTCAGGTGGACCCCAATCTCCTCCTTCCCCAGGAGACAGCTCACCTTAAAGAGGGTCACTGGGCGGTTATCTGCAGACGCAATTAGTGTGGAGAAGTATTTACACTCTGCCGCACGAATCACAAGGTAGGCCTTAGTAGCAGCTCTTACCCGTGTTCAATCGAGTTCATCTCCTGTCTTCCGCCAGCAGTGCTCCAGATATCTCATGAGTTTTATCCCTCTCATTTCCTCTGTATACCACGGGGCACAAAGAGGTCTACAGTTGAGGAGAGGTCATAAGGGTGCAATCCTATCCACAGCCTCAGTCACCTTCCTATTCCAAACAGTTACTAACAGCTCGGCTGGACTGCACAGTAGATCTGCAGTTATAACCCCCAGCTCCTTCTTGAACCCATCTGGGTCCATTAGTCGATGGGGGTGGACCAATCCAATAAGTCCTGCCTCCCTGTGAGGGGGTGCAGCTTTTGAGAAACTCACTGCCACCAGACTGTAATCCGACCATGACAAGGGGACCAAGCACAGGTTCACCAATTCTAGGTCACATAGACACTGCTCCGACAAGAACATCAAATCGGGTGTGTAATCACTAGTTGTCTGTGATAGCTAATCTCTTTTTTCCATCAATTCAATTAATAGCATCAATAAAATGATGTACCATCACCACGCATAATATTGTCATACGTAAATTAAATTGAAATAACATATACTTTAATGGAACCAATAATAATACATCCCTGATTATAATTCTTCACATTCAAAATTTAAGTATAATTGGATAGAGAAAAAATATTAATTACAAGTAGTAAAATATTTCAAATGCTGCTGAATCATCTCTATAAAACAATTAAATGTTTAAAAGTAAATGTGTATTTTATTCATTCAATTTTGCTATACAAGTAGACAAATTCTATGAGATTAAAACTATTAATTTTAATATTTTAATAAATTTATGCTAATAATTATTTAAATAGTGATAACTATTTTCTATTTGCTTATTTTAAATTTGGAGCAATGTTTCACTTGATGTTAAACAGCATGTTGCATACACTCATTTACAGGCAGCCCTTGACTTACAATTGTTCGTGTAATAGCTGCTCAAAGTTATGACATTGAAAAAAAAGAGATTTATTACCAGTTTTCACACTTACGAACACTGTAGCATTCCCATGGTCACGTGATCAAAATTTAGACACTTGGCAACTGGCATGTATTTATGACAGCTGCACTGTCTCAGGGTCATTTGATCACTATTTGCAACCTTCCCAGATGACTTCTGACAAGCAAGTCAAAGGGGGAAGCAAATGTGTCTGATGACCATATGATTCATTTAACAACTGCAGCAATTCGCTTAACAACTATGACAAAAAAGTTTGTAATTCTTTTAACTCTTACATAGACACAGGAATTTGTGGCTCAATTGTGGTTATATGTCAAGGACAATCTGTACCATATAACATCTTAATAAAGAAATTCAAAGTGGAAGTGGTCATTAGAGATAATATGCTAGGATAACACACTCTTTTAATTTAACCTGTGATTACAATTTTTTTTTAAAAACACCTGCTAGGTCAGGAGTGTCAAACTTAAAGCCTGTGGTGCTTGGAAATAACAAAGGACAGGTCCATGGTGCCTCTGGCAGCCAAAATGACATGCACACCCTGCGCTCCATTTTGGCTGGCAGAGTGCTGCAGGAGGCTTCTTCACCTTCTTCACCTTCTCTTTAAGCAGCATTTGCCAATTAGAACTAGGTACCCTCCAAGATCTGGATGGCTGCTGTTCAGAAGAGACAAAAACATCTGGCTCTCCACCCACGTTTGTGATGAGAGCCCCCTCGCATCACTGAGTTTGTCATCTTTTATCTTAATCTTTTACCTGTGATTGATTTAATTGTAATTTTTTTGATTATTGAGAGCCATCCAGAGTCATTAAGAATTTGGTGGTATATCAATTTTTAAAATTATTACTAATATTAAGTCCTCCTCTAGGGCTGCGTCAGAGGTAGTAACAAAGATTAATAGATTGTTGGGCAGACAGTTTTTTAGAGACATCTGGAGAAATTGTCCATTTATGCTCTGCTCCTATACAAAAGAGTCAAGCCCCATAGCAGCTGGGGACTCTTACATGTCTTTAATCTCATTATGAATTGAGACTATTTGTGCCAGAAAGTAAACCCTTCTTTGTCTGGAATAGCTGTTTTGAATGCAAAGGGGAAAAATGCATTTTGAGCCTGTCTCAAACGCCCACCATGGCTACGCCCACCCCTTGTCACGCCACACCACACTGCACCCCCGGCCCGTCAAGGTCGAACACAACCCTGATGCAGCCCACAATGAAATCAAGTTTGACACCCCTGCTCTAGGTCATCATGTTTGTTTTCCATAAAACAAAAAAACTACTGGCTTCTTGTCAAAGAACCAGTAATTTAATTTCAATGCCTATGCTTGTTATATATAGTCCTGATAGAAAAATATGAAAAAATTGTGATTTTTTCCTGACTCATGATTTGATATCACTTTCTTCTGCTATGAATTTAGCATCTGATATACACTCACCTACACGTATATCAATTTTTAAAATTCTTTTGTTAATTTTAGTTCTTAACCATTTATGATTAATTACATAATGTACAAATTATCTGTCGCTACTGTCCCTAAAGACTAGTTTACTTTAAAAAAATCTTGCAGTATGATTTATTTCAACTATTATCATTTTTAGCAAAGTGATAAAATGCTCTAGAGGTCATTATTCTAAGGTTTTAATTGTGATGAAATCTACTCTTAGTTTGACCACAATTTCTTCATGAAAGATCCTCAGAAATTATACTTTGTAAGTTAATACTGCATATTCTTTTCATTCAACAGAAAGATTACTTATTATCATTTCCACAATTTAATGGGAAAAATCCTCAATTTATATATCTCTTTTTAAAAATGCTGTGTAATGAAAGTAATTTCAGTTGAAGGACACAATATCATTTTTCAAGTTCTCATTCACAATTAAAGCCAATTTAATGAATCTGTTAGAAGGGCCTCAAACATCTCTTCTGTTTTCTATTAATTTAACTCTCATGTTGATTTTGTACAGAATGAAGTTATCATGAGTTGATTATTCTAGGATGTTTGTATGTCTTCTAAGCTGAAAATCTTAGCATTGGAAAAATTTCAAAAACCATTTTCAACAATCAAACCCATATTACATACATGTCAAAACAAAGTATTGAATTGCTTATTTAGGAATAATACAATTTATATGAAGTTATACAGGTATAATTGAAGTATGAAGAAGAGGGAGGAGGGAGGGAGGGGGAGGGAGAGGGGAGGGAGGAGAGGGGGGAAAATATATTGAACTTGCCTGTGGGGGTGGTACTGTTATTGGTGTAGGTATAGGTACAGGCATTTGGACAGGCAAAGCTTTAGTTATAGGTGATGTTTGTTCATTATGTGCAGTATCACTTCCAGCCCCTCCATTCTGGGCTAGTTGGTTTTCTGGTTTTTTTGGAATTCCTTTCCATTCTATAAAAGAATATTAAAAAGAATGTAAAAATATTTGGTGTCAATTTATTCATGCATTTAAACTTATCTTTAAATTGTTTTAAATATGTTTAATTCCTTGTGCAATAAGGTTTCCTAAATATACTGTATACAGAATTCGTACCTGTTTTTATTTATTTTTCTTTATACAAGTGGATTAAGGCAAACTTCTTCATTAGAAAAAAATGAAGCTTTCTTTGAAATACTGCATCTTCAACTCAGTCCCTTTATACTGCTTTCTAATCATTATATATTCAGAATTATGGCAGAGACAAGAAATACTTTTATACTAATTCAGCACAGAAAACTTCCCAGTTTTTTTCATGAAAATAATTATTTATAAAACTAGATTAATAATATCCAGAACTACACACAGAAGAAACAAATACAGATTTCACTTCCATTAGTAGAAAAAGAAGTATTTCTTCTACATCCCTAAATCTATTTAAGACCATTTCACAATATTCAAGTTTTTCTGTGCAACAGATGAAGGATGAAACAGCAACTCAACATACTTTATCAAATTTGTGTGTATATACTGTCAAGGTAGCTTCATTTTTTAAAAAATATATGAACTAGAGCTCTGAATTTTGCAGATATTCTTCAAAGTGGTGCTGCATGAAATATAAACACAGCAGTAATTAGAAACCCATTTAAGCGACTAATGGTTTCTAGGATTGAATATACTATGGTGAATCTTATGCTGCAACTGTAAATTCCTGGAACCACATGCAGCTATTTTAATGAGTTGCAGGCAGGTGCAGCATTCACATTCCTGGATCATTCAAATGTCTTCCAAATTGAATCCAAACTCTAGACAGCCATAAGAACTTCATCAGTTTATTCAATTTAGTTTATAATCATATGGCTCTCTTAAATGAATGTTATCTATTTTTCTATATATATTGTAAAGTTTAGCTTTATTCATTCTATTTAGATCCTGCTTATTATTGTCTGAATTTGTATTGTCCTCAGTATTCAGCATTCACAATAGACACAGCCCTAAAACAGGTATAAAATGTAATGAGAATTGTTGTATCGTATCTAGGATATGCCAAACTTGCATAATTCATAATATAGCACTTGAAAAGTAAGATATATAACCTGAAATTTGAGACTGCTGTGCAATATGGGATTGCTTCTTGGTCATCAACTATAAATTGAAATATTCAATTATACTGAATTTGTTTACAAAACTATGTTTGCGGTATACCCGATATAACTGTTTCTAAAAGGGCCAAATCCATGCCTTGGATACATCAAAGATTGTGCATGATTTGGCTACATACGGATAAATTTCTGTTTGTGAAAAATGTAGCCAATTGGGTACAATATTGGAACTACCTTTCAATGGCAACTTCGTTGGCTGCTATTTTAGCAGGCAAATTTAAGATAGTAATTTTACACTTTCTGTCCTGACGTTCTGAAGAACCTGTTCCAGCTATTGAGATCTTAAAAGGAAATTCTTTTAAAATATTCCTGCTTTCAACTCCTTTATTTGGCCTAATGGACAACTAATGTTGCTTTCAAGGTAAGTAAAAAGCTCTCCTGGGAGCAAACCAACTCTCTTTGGTTTAAAAAAAAAGGCATTAAGGGGCCACATTTGCAACCAAGCCTTTTGCATTCTTTACAGAATGATGTTACCATTTGACAGTATAACTTCCATAGTAATTAATGTTTTAACTTTATAATTGGGTCCAGAGTCATTCTGTGAGATGGGCAGTTTGTACATTTGATGTTTCAATATAAATCAATATATTAAGATTTTACAAATGGTATTTCAACTTCATTGCATTTTAACTGAAAATGTGTTTTCAAAACTCATTATGACTGAGCCTCTTTCATATTGTAATACTGTTATGTTTTGTATTTATTTTCATCAGCTTAGACGACTATAACCAAGAGAAGCAGTTTTGCTATGTATTCCAATCTCATAGAATCATACAGTTGAAATGGTTATTTAAACTGTCATGTCTAATTCTTTGTTTATAGGACTCCAGCATCCCTGGCACATGGTTAACTCTCTGTCTGAATACACTTAAAGAAAAAAAAACTCTCCCCTCCCCTTAGTAATCCATTCAACTTCCACTCTGCTCTTTCCAAAAGAAATATTTTTTTCCTAACATTCAGTCAGACACTTCCTTCTTGTAGTTTGGATCCATCACTTAGTTACTGGCATCATAACGTGACTTCTTCTCTGAAGAATTGAAAAGGACTACATTATCCCTCCTTCCAAGTCTTTTCATAAGACTTAACTTCTAATTCCCAATTATCTTTATTGTGCTTTTTCTGAACCTATTCTAATATATCCAAATCCTTAAAGTGTAAGCTTAAGACTGTACAATAGTGAACTGTATTTTCTTCTCTTGAAGGGTTTCAGACATTTAGAATCACGTACTGTATTTTTTGGAGTATAAGACGCTCTGAAGTATAAGACACATCTAGCTTTTGAGGAGAAACACAAGGGAAAAAAATCTGCCTCTGCCTCCCAGCAATTTACTTCCTTGCAGCAAACAGCCTAGTCAGCTTCAGCATAGCCTGATTAGCACAAGCAGCTGGTTGTTGGTTGGATCGCCTCCTGACGATCAGCTATTTCAAGCTGCAGGGATTGACACTGTCTATTGCCACCTCCACGCACCCCATTTTTGGTCTCTGCATTTCATCTTTTTTCTCCGCACACCCCGTTTTAGGCCTCCGCACATATTTTCAGCCCGTTCCGATCCCCGCTGCCCAGAACATGCCGAAAACAGGGTATGCAAAGGCCAAAAACAAGGCATGCAGAGGCTGAAAATGGGATGAGGCCGAAAATGGGGCACCCAGAGGCAATGACAATCTCTGAAACAGCTGATTGTCGGGAGGCCAATCCAACTGACGATCAGCTGTTTATGCTAATCAGGCTGTGCTGAAGGTGACCAGGCTGTTTGCCCCAAGGAGGCAAATTGCTGGGAGGCAGAGGCTGAAGGGTGGCTGGGCAGGGTTTTGGCAACATTCGATGTATAAGATGCACAGGCATTTCCACCCGCTTTTGCGGGGGGGGGGTGCGTCTTATACACCGAAAAATACAGTAACTACTTCCAGCCTTATATCCATGCTAAGCGGTTTTATCTCAAAACTTCATTTTTTTCCCTCATAAGCTACTTTTTGTTGGTAACATCTTATTCAACCCCTGAATAGCTGAAACTGTGTTTTTTAATTGATTAAAATATTTTATACACAAATATTTTAATTTAAAACTTCTATTTAAACATAAATTTATTTTCTTACCTGGACTAAGTGTATCATTGTCCAGCATTCCTCCTTCACAAAAGCTTTCCAAATCTTCAGGTTTAACTTTACCCCATGGTATGTAGGTAACACCTAATTCTACATCCCAATACTGCTTATAGTCTGGCTTAATTCCTTTATTTAAAGCCCAAGCAATCTGAAGGAAAAAAGCACGCTTGTCAGACAAGAAGTTTTACTATTAAGATGATAATTAATTATATTCATTCAGTTCAATATAATCATACAATCAGGTAGGTAATGAACTGTTCAATCACAATTAAAACTATGCAGAAATCACATATATTTATTTCATATCTCTTGCTGATTATAGTCGTTCAGCTGATTCCACCATGAGTTATTTCTCTTTTAATTTTTTTTAGTTATTTATAGTAATATGTAAAAAATATACAGTTGAGCTCTTATCCTCAAACTAAATGGGGAAGAAGTGAAATATTGTTTTAAAATTATCAAATGCCAATTAAATTGTTTGAAGTGTTGTGTCAAACACAATAAATCTGAAAAGCTAAA